TCAAAGTGACTCCGAGTGAACCAAAGCTTCACAAAGAGGTTCAGTGATTAAAAGTGACTCAGAGTGAACCAAAGCTTCACAACGTGATTCAGAGTGTTCGAATCAGCGCACGCTGTCGACTCCTGCTGTTCAGAACAGAGTAAATGCACATTGAACAAACACAAACATGTTTAATTACAACTTTTACAAACCAACTAACAATGTTTTCATAAAAGTGGAATCTATTAAATATAACCTACTAATCAATCAATACTATACATCTTAATACAAATGTGAACCTTGTATATAATTTGTGTCCTTTTATTAATTTGAATGCTAGGTTTTTTGTTTTGTTTTTGGTCATATCAGGCCATTTAAGGTCATTAACTCTGACTCTGACTACTGAACTAGGGATCTGATTGAGACAGATTTAGATTGCATTTATTTTTCTTTCTGTTTATTATTCTCATCTTCAACACACAGATAAACTCAACTGAGATCCACGTGACACACTATTATAAAGATGGAGTTTATTAAAGAGGAGAGTGAAGACATGAAGATTGAAGAAACATTCAGAGTCAAACATGAAGATACTGAGGAACAAACAGGTTAGTTTTCATTCTCAAAGCTGAACTCGCTCATCTGATCCGTATTAAAATGTCCAGCTCTACAGAATACAGAAAACTCTAGTGATAAGAGGTTTTTGGTTGTTTTTCTTCTGGCTTGTCAATTTAATACAAGAACAAACTTCTACATATTTGATATTTTTAAGAGACTCTTTTTCTTTTAAGAAAACTTGGAGAGATGTGCAGTCTTGTCAGGTTGTGAATAAATATAAAGCTGAGTATCATCAGCACAACAGTTATAATGATAATGTATTTCAAGGGAAGCAAATACAAGCAGAAAAGCAGAGGAGTGAATACTGGTCAGATAGACAGGAACCGAACCGTGCCAATTCTTGTCCACAAATACCAGCATCATTTTCAAGCTCTTCAAGAAACGTTTTGGTCTATGAAAGCTCTAATACTAATAGCACTAGAATAGAGATGCAAAATGAAATAATAAATGATCTGTGGGGTATTTTGAGCTGATACTTCACAGACACATTCTGGGGACTCCTGAGACTTATATTACATCTTGTAAAAAGGGGCATAATAGGTCTCCTTTAAAGCATTCAAATTCAAGAAGCCGAAAAAGCCTTTTTGCTTGTGCTTGAATGTTCAAATTGGCAAGAAAGACGTGTATCATTATATTGGATCCATGAATTGTGTCTTAAAGTGACAGCGCCTAATTTACTTGCTGCTGTCAGTGAGCGAGAGAGAGAGAAATTCACTCACTGCTCTTTTGTAGCATTAGCCTATTTTCAATTTAGACAGTGAAGCCTATGCAATGCTATTTTATATCTATTTATTCAATTTTTGTACCTTAGCACTGACAAACCTGAAAAAAATTAAAGCATTGTTTAATTTGTATCTTTGTTCTATTTATTTATTTGTTCTAGCCTATTAACACAATTTCAAATACCCCAATAACCGCATACCCCAGCTACGGCCCTGCTCCGGGGTCAGAGCCTTGTGGTCCTCTACCATGGTTTTTGATGAGGAGTTTGATAACTGCCAGCTTGAAAATACAGTTGCAATCAACATTATTAGAGACTGTAGTACTGTAAGAAAAGCAAGCTTTTCTAATGATCGACAGTTTTACAAAAAGTTATAGGTATTTTCAATCTCACAGTTATGTCATAATTATTCCGCATCACTTATTTTAATGGTAATGGCTCCCAGGGACCTGTAAGGAAAAAACAACGGGGCAGAGGGCTCGAGCGACCGGCTACGAGCGAGCTCACGTCGGCCCAGATCCCGCGTGCCTCGCTCTCGCCTCAGAGAGAGTGTTCTTCCGTCCTTTTCTCCCAGTCTGATCAGCGTCCCTCTGCTGGTGCGAGCGACCTGATCTCATTTGGGGGAAGTGAGGACGAGCTGCTTGATGACAGCATGTCATTAGCAGCATCGGACGCAGAGGAGCTGTTGGGCTCGGCGACTGACCCCACCCCCTCGCCATCGTCCGTGCCCAGCGCCACCAAAGACGAGATAGATGCCGAGCTTCTCCGTATCCTCTCCAAAGCGGTCAAAGAGCTGGGCTTAGAGTGGTCTCCGCCAGAGGAGCCCTCCTGCAGCCGTCTGGAGGAGTGGTTCCTGCCAGGGCGCCGCCAGGCCCCTCGTCAGCGTTCCTCTCCGTTCTTCCCGGAGGTCCATGACGAGCTCACCAGATCGTGGCGCGCTCCCTACTCCGCCCGCCTCCATACTGCTTCTTCATCCGCCCTCACTTCCAGCGACGGCGCTGAAGAAAAAGGGTACGATAAGCCACCTCCCCTAGATGAGTCAGTGGCCGCACACCACTGCCTGCCCACGGCCATCAGCTGGAGAGCAAAGGCCGCTCACCAGGCCAAACCTACACTTCAGCTGGACAGGGGGCTTCGGTGCTTCATTCAATGGCGGTCCTCCAGGTCTTTCAGGCCAAGATCCTCGCATCCTCCGATGAGTCTAGCCTAGACCCCGTGACCCTCAGGGAGCTGAGGAGTGCAACCAACCTGGCTCTGCGCGCCACCAAGACCACCGCTCAGGCGATCGGGAGATAGGTGGCCAGCTTTGTGGTGCTCGAGCGCCATTTGTGGCTCACGCTAACATAGATCAAGGACACGGATAAGATCCCCTTCCTTGATGCTCCAGTCTCTCCTAAGGGTCTCTTCGGACCGGCGGTCGAAGGATTCACCGAGCGCTTCACGGAGGCACAGAAATCGTCCCAAGCTATGCAACATTTCCTGCCTAAGCGCTCCAGCTCCGCTGCTGTCTCTGCTCGCCCTAAGCCTGCGCAGACTCAGCAGCCCGCGAAGCCAGCACCTGCCACCCCTGCCGTTCAGCCTGCTAAGGCACAGCAGACGCGGGGACGCTCTCGCTCGGCCAAACGATACCCCCTTCCAAAGTGCCAGGGACCCCGACCCAAGATTGTATTGGACCTGGCGCCTCAGGCGTCATCCTGATCTACAGGAAGAGGACGGGGCCAGATCTCGCTACGGCCGGACCGCCCCTCAAGCAGCCTCTCTTAGACCTCTTGACACCCCGTTCAACTCCGGGTACAGAGGGAAATGTGTTTTGGGCAAACAACGGGTCCGTTCATGCGCCCAAGCATTCAACCGCTGTGATATCGGAAAAAATAAAACCTCCTCCACCACTGTTCTCTGGCAGCTCCTCTGCTCGCCCTCAGCCCACCATCTTTATGATGCAAGCTCCGCGGGTCTGCCATCCTCCATCGTCACCGTGGCTGCAGAATCCCTGGTCTCTGCCTCCAGCCTCTAAGCCCCGGACTCCACCTTGGCCCATCGACCCAACGGCTCCACCATGGCTCCTAGCTCCCTCCTGTCCGCCATGGCCCATCAGTCCACTGTTTCCATTGCCTTGGGACTCCACTCCTCTGGCTGCGCCTCATCTCTCCTGTTCTGTCAGGCTCCTCCATCCCTTTGGCTCCTCCTCAGTCTTCTGTCACTCCGGCTCCACCGTGGCCTTCCAGATCCCCGCCTCCGCCTTGGCTCTCCGGATCCTCCTCGTCACCCTGGCTCATCGGCTCTCCGTCTCGGGCTCCTCCACTACCTGCAGCCGCAGTCGGTTGGCTCACTGGAGTCATCAGCCCTTCCTCCTCTATGGCTCCTCCCTTCGTCGGCTCCACCGTGGGTCGTCATTACCACCTTTGTCCTCTGTCGCTCTGGCTCGCCTTCCGGATCCCCGCCTTCGCATCGGTCGCCGGAGCCATCAGTTCCACCTCGGCCCTCCGGATCCTCCTCGTCCCCCTGGCTCATCGGCTCTCTGTCTCGGGCTCCTCCACTACCTGCAGCCGGAGTCGGTTGGCTCCCTAGAGTCATCAGCCCTTCCTCCTCCATGGCTCCTCCCTTTGTCGGCTCCACCGTGGGTCGTCATTATGGTTGTGGCCTGGGTCCAACCTGCCACCACATGCTCCAAGTCCCTCCAGTCATCTCCCTGGCTTCTCCCTCCATCTGATCCACCCTGACTCCTCCTTGGCTCCTCCCTCCGTCGTCACCTCCCTGGACTCTGTCTGCCGGCCCCCTCCCGAGTGCCCGTCCTCTTCCTGAGCCTCCTTCCAAGTTCCCACCCGTCCCTTCCCATGTTTCCTATGACGCGAGGACGCGCCTTCCGGGAAGGAGGTGATATGTCACGAATATGGACTGTCTGTGTGTTTTCCCTCGTGTGTGACATGTCGATATTTGTTTTTTCCGGTTCCTGTACCCATTGTGTGTTCATTGTTTCCAGGTGTGTCTCATTAGTTCATCCTTCTCACCTGTCTGCCCCTCGTTATCTGCCCTATTTGAGTTCTAGCCTGTTCCATTCTCCCTTGACCGGTATTATACGTCAACTCCGTGCTACGTGTGTGTCTCCTGGCTATCCTGTGTGTTCCCCATGTTGGAATATTAAAGACTGTTTTTTGGTGTTAACTCCTCGTTCCTCTCTCCAACACAGTAGACGATTGTGACAGTTGTTTGAGAACGTAGTTCTGGGAGTTAATTATAATGAACACTTTGAGGAGACCTTGCTCAAGCATTTTAGAATGACAAAACTAGCAATCAGATGCTGTGCAATGAGATCGGTCTGTTGGTTGGTCCAGTTATATGCTGTCCCATCGCACATTAGTTAATTCTTCTCACCTGTCTGCCCCTCGTTATCTGCCCTATTTGAGTTCTAGCCTGTTCCATTCTCCCTTGACCGGTATTATACGTCAACTCCGTGCTACGTGTGTGTCTCCTGGCTATCCTGTGTGTTCCCCATGTTGGAATATTAAAGACTGTTTTTTGGTGTTAACTCCTCGTTCCTCTCTCCAACACAGTAGACGATTGTGACAGTTGTTTGAGAACGTAGTTCTGGGAGTTAATTATAATGAACACTTTGAGGAGACCTTGCTCAAGCATTTTAGAATGACAAAGAGATCACACTGGAGAGAGACCTTACACCTGCAAACTGTGTGGACAAATTTTCAAACAAAAAGGACGCCTTAAAGTCCACATGAAAATTCACATTGAAAAGAAGCCTTTCATATGTGTTCAGTGTGGAAAGAGATTTACACAGAAAAAACTCCTTAATGCCCACATGAGAGATCACACTGGAGAGAGACCTTACACCTGCGAGCTGTGTGGGAAGAGTTTTACACGGAAAAATCACCTTAATGACCACATGAGAGTTCACACTGGAGAGAGACCTTACACCTGCAAACTGTGTGGGAAGAGTTTTACACGGAAAAATTACCTTAATGCCCACATTAGAAGTCACACTGGAGAGAGACCTTACACCTGCAAACTGTGTGGGAAGAATTTTATACGAAACGGGACTCTTAAAACTCACATGAAAACTCACAGTGAAGAGAAACCATTCATATGTCTTCAGTGTGGAAAGAGTTTTAAACAGAAAAGACTCCTTAATGTCCACATGATTATTCACGCTGGAGAGAAGCCTTTTACCTGCAAACCTGTTTACCTGTGCGGAAAGAGTTGCTCACGTAAAGCAAACCTTACGACTCACATGAGGATTCACAATGGAGAGAATTTATTCACATGTGAGCAATGTGGAAAGAATGTCAGATGTAAAGAAAGCATTAATAATCACATGAGGATTCATTCAAGAGAGAAGAGTTTTACATGTCATCAGTGCGAACGGAGTTTCTCAGACACAGATCACCTTAAGAATCATGTTAAAATTCATATTGGAAAAAAACCTTTCATGTGCCATCACTGTGGAAAGAGTTTAAAAAACAACGCAAACCTTGAGAATCACATAAAAGGTCACACTGGAGAGAAACCTTTCACCTGCAAACAGTGTGGAAAGAGTTTCGCAGTAAAAAGGAACCTAAAGATTCACATGAGAGTTCACACTGGAGAGAGACCTTACAAGTGTCTTCAGTGTGAGAAGAGTTTCACATATCAAAATGTCCTGAAACGTCATTTGCAAACTCATTCCAGGAAGAAATTGCCGTCTTCCTCAGAGTGACAAGAGGTTTAGAAAAAGGAATGATTTCTTGGATTACCCTCTTCTCATTTCTTCAGATATCTACAGGTACGGAATTATGTTAAAAGTAATATTCCTAATTTTGAAACTTACAAATCCCCTGAACATCTTTATCTTTGTATGACATCTGAACTCAATTTGAAGGGTCTTACTGAGAATTGCCCTGAACATCTTTATCTTTATATGGCATCTTCTGAAGTAAAATTGAAGGGTCTTGTTTCTAGATTTGTTGAATATTTCAATGACTCAGGGGTTCCTCCCACAAAATCTGAAGATGTCCTGGGAGGAAGACCTAGATATAGGTATTTCAGAAGACACTTCTAGACATTAGGTCGTGTTCCATCAGCTCTAACTTTCAGCTCATTCAATATAAAGTTGTGCACAGATAGAATTATTCTCGTACCAGGTTTCATTCTATATACCCCTCTGTGTCACCTTTATGTATTAAATGTAAGTCCAACGAGGGAACATTGGGTCATTTATTTTGGTTCTGTCCAAAAATGTGTAAGTTCTGGTGTGAAGTGTTTTGTTTTTATTCAAGGGCATTTAAGACTGATTTTCCCCATTACCTCCTTGTTTCTGTATTAGGCTGGGCTCCATATTTGGAGACCTATAGTCCAAATCAAACTCAGGCAGTTCAGTATGGGATCACAATAGCAAAGAAGACTATTTTGAAGATGTGGAACAAAGAGTTTGTACCCAAATTTAAGACGTGGCTAATAGAGTTTAGCAGTGTGCTACATATGGAGAAGATCAGATATGAAAATGCTGGTAAACCGCAGAGATTCTTACAGATATAGAAACACTTTTTTAATATCTAGAAGGTGATAACTGATTATTGATTTCAACACACTGGACATATTCTCTGTGAGGTGTGATAGAGTATGTCTAGTAAGGTGTAATAATGCAGCTATTGCATAATTGGATAATTACTAGTACTGAAATGTTATTTTATATACCCCCCCCTCCCCCCCTTTTTTTTAGTTCTTTTTATGCATTTTAAGTATGAAGGTAAAATATTAGCAAAACTCGAGAGCTTGTTGATTTGAATGTGAGAACTTGTCATTAATATTTGTATTTGTAAGTTGAAATTTACACTCCACAAGCTCTGAAGTGAAAAGCTGATTCTTTCGATTTGCACACACAGACAAGTGGAGTGGATCGGGATAATAATCTGGATAATATTTTCAGCGATTAACAACTAAAATTATGCTCTGTACCTCACACAAAACTACTGTATTCCACCAGAGAGGACTGCAACACATTCTCATTTGGACTACTTTTGGCACTGCTTTTGATATTTTTGCAATAAATAAATGATTGTGATTGCACTCATCTGTCTGTCATGTTTTTCTTTATACTGTACATATTTTTTAAAATATAGTTATGGTTAGGTTTAGAGATAGGAGTGGGATTAGCGATTATAAAAATATATTTTTAATGCTATATTGTTATTAAAATGGTAATTTTCGTCACAATCAGCAGCTCAGTCATCTCTACACTACACTTCCCATCATCCCTCCTGCTAATCACCTGCGCTCCCTTTGCAGTCCCCCACACCTGAGACTGATTATCATTACTCAGCACAAACCTCACCTTCAGTCAGTGTCTGGTCTCGTATTGAGTATAGACGTGCTCCCACGTTCCAGTCACGAAGTTCCTGTTCTCCTCGTCCTCCTGTCGTCATCATGTGTATAAGTGCTCCTTGTGTGTGACTTACCTCCAGACTCACTTGCTTCGGTTTCCCGTGCTTGCTGCAGATAAACTGTCTACCATCTCAGTCTTTACGTTATGATTTCCCTGCATATTTCAGTCTATTACATTTGATATATTTTTATTTGCTATAAAATGGGTAGGTTTAGGTTTATGGGTAGGTTAAGAGGTCTAAAAATCTAAATTGCTTAATAAAATTAGAAAAACGCATTGATACAAACATCTTAATGATCTTTTAAAGTATCTTTAGCTAAAAATACGTAGCAGTTTTACATTTTAAATGTTGTGATGCGTTCAAATTGTACGTTTCAGCATCAATGAAAACACAAAAACAGTATGTAATGTTTTGTGCTTGTAAACTTATGTACTAATACCTATGCATAAACAATGAGACCAGGCTGGCATACCTGATGCTGACACTCTTTTTGAGCAGCTAAACCTCAATTCATCTATAAGGCTCTTTAAAATGACAGAAGATGTCAAAACAAGTGCCGAATTAGTAGCACAGGACCTGAAGACACCTGGGACAAGGAGAAGTCATCAGGTGAGTGAACATATTGAACAACATTTTCAAACTCAATGCAAACAGGCTAAAGTAACTATACCTACAAAGAGAGAAATTTTCTTTTTTATGTTGGGTTGCTGGATGAGATATCTTTAAAGCTATAAATAGGAGATGGTTTAAAACTAAAGTGATCAGAGTACTGAAATGTAGTTAATTACTGATTATGGATGCAGCTAAAAAGAGACAGTTATGTGGGTTCATTGAGGTAATTTCCTGCAAACTCTGAAAGAGAAGCTTAAGATTAAAACATGTTAAACACACAATCTGTTATTTCATATTAGTATGTCTGTATTTAATATCGAAGTTTAATTCCATCTCAAATTACTATTATTTTCTCCTTAAGCTGACATCGACAAAACTTTTATTATAATTCACACGGAGAATACATTTTAAATAATCGCTGAACTGCATGAGCCATTTACATACCAAGCTACTGATCAGATCGAAGCTAGTACAGATCAGATAATTGAGTAGATATTCACCGTGTATTACTGTTATGTTTTTTTGTTGTTGTTTTATGCATGATTGTGTGCATTGCATTTTTATGTTCTCATTGTCATGTT